GCAGCATGGCTTCACTCGCCGCGGCTAAAAGTGACAGTAGAAAAGGCCCAAAAGTCAGCTTGTCCTTTTCTCCTGTGGTGGCAGTTTCTACTAGACAAAACACACAGAGTCAGAAACTTGTCTTACTGTAAGTTTAATTCAGCATCTGCAGATGGAATCACAACAAACAGTCAAGAAGGAGCAGAGTGCAAAGAGTGAGCCCTGAATACAGGAGATGTCAGATACTTATACACAACAGCTGAGGTCAGGGGTCTTTAACAAGCATCGTCAGAGAGGTGACAAAGCAGTTTGGGTCATCTTATCTAGTCATGTCCTCGGACATCAAGTAAAGCACTCACAGCTTGTTACACACTGACAAAGAGTAAACGTCATGTAAGGCACTTGTGCTTGTGATATCCTGACAAGACATAAAATGTAAAGTTACTTCACATTCTTTCTGCTTAGTGGCACATAGTACAGAGGCCTAAAAGTTTCCATTACATAGGTTAAAAATATTTATTTTAATTTATATTATATTGTTGATTACCTTTTTGATTATATGAATAATTTCCATTTCACTCCCACCATAATTACCACAGCCTCTACGAGTGCTGTCATTCTTCTTGGCAGGATGGTCTGAAGTTTGTCCTTTGTCCTCTTAATTGGCTTCACACTCTTCTGTCACTTCCCATGAAGCCAGTCATGAGAAAGACTCGGACATCTCCTCATTCAAAAAATTTGCTTTTTGTTTCAAATAAAATGTACTGCTCTTGATCAGGAGAGCTTTAACATCAACAAAAGTAAAACAAAAAAACAAAAAATCACCTCTGATGAACTTTGAACCCAAAAGGAGCATTACACACTTTATAGAGGAAGTATTTGTTAAGTTGAAAATTGGTTTTGTGCCCACCACCCTGTAGAAAATGTATTTACAAACACTCATATCACTTTTCTTGTTTGCCTCAATATAATAATGACAAGAAATACTTAAGTAAAGTTATCTGATACTTATCAAGATCATCATCAGTGGAAGTGTACATCGTCATTTTGGAGTTGTTTGGGCAATGACATCATATTCTGGAGACATGTCTCTACGATTCACTGACATGTACGTTCTGTCCTCTTCTTTCGGCTTCACATGCTGTCTGGCTCTCCTTTGAGGAACAAAAGAAAAAGTCAGGATATACATATCCATGTGAATATATTTTATATTGAAGTGCTGCTGTTCATGAGCAGAGCTTTTGAACCAACAAGTATCATCCAGTGCAAAAACATACCAAAGCAACGCTATGCAGACTGTGAAGAAGACGTTCACACAGAGAGATACACCAGCAACAGCCAAGAGAAGAACTGTCATAAGAAATAACCAAATAATAATATCAGTCTCATATATATAATAATCTACATCTCAGAGCTCTGTTTGAATGTTGCATTTATGAAACAGTGAAAACATTGTCCACTAAATAAAGCTAGACCTGTCAGGTATACATTATGAAGGTTTGACATTTGATACATAGACTGCACTGTCACTTAATCAGTAAAACAGACCTTGACTTTGTGCAGATGTTTGAGGCTCAATGCTGTTGACGCAAAAAAGTAGACTGGCAGATCCAAAAGAGTTGGAGCTGCGGCAGAGCAGGGTGGAAAGATTTTTCTCCTGTGGTTGATCCACAGTAAGGTTGCTCGTCAGACCTGTGTCACTTAGGTTGCTTATTGCAAAAGAGTGATTGACAGGTGACCCGTCCAAATACCACTGTAAAGTGGGAGAAGGATTTCCCACAGTCCTGCAGGAACATCTGAGCTGGGCTTCAGCTATGGTACAATGAGATGAGGGCAGGATCTGTGGGGAAACTGAAACACATGTAGAGAAAACAGACTTTAGAAGGTTAGAGTATTAGTATTAGTATTATTATTATTAGTAGTAGTAGTAAATAAAGACACATTTAATCAAGTTTGCAAAAATTAAATACAAAATGTACTGATAGAAAAATAATTGTTGAAAAGTGATGCAAAGCGAAATGTTCAGTTACCACAAGAATAAATGAATTGTTGTAGCCATTTTAAACTAGGGTTAGGCTAGTTTTACCCAAGTTAACAAGCAACATATGTATTTGTTTGTTCAAGTATTTATAATTAAACTTTTATGTAGATATGGACCTGTGGTAATATGAACTAAATTTGGCAAATTTATGTCAATAAGTAGTTATAAAGAATAAATTATATCACTTAGAAACCGATCACAGCATCGACTGGGAGTCAAAGCCATTGACAAGGACTCAGTTGACGGATGTAGAAAGATCAAGGAGGCCACCACATCGGACACCAAAGACCATACATGAACAGTCATGGTTTTAATCTTCCTCCATATGCAGTTGCATGTTATCACATGACCAAAGTTCCTTACTGTTTTGTCTCCTCCTTTTGAGGGAAGATCAAATATTAGAAACACCTCTTAGTGTGAAGTTT